AATGCAAATGAGGCAGATAGGGTTAACACTACCTGATTCCTTTCTTAAAATTAATCTATTGGGCTGGGTCAACCCAACCCATTTTCCTTCTCTTCTAACCCACTTCTCTTTCTCCTCAAAATAATTAAATAAAATAAATACATGTATATTATAAAATATTTTTCCTCTATAATAATAATATATTTCTGACCCAAAATATAATAATAAATTTCAATAACAAAATATCATGTAAAATCAACCTTCTCTTAAAACATAAATATTTATTTAAAAATACTAATAAAAATACTTATTTAATACGTACAAAATAATTGTCCAAAATAATAATTATTTAAAACGTACAAAATAATATTTCTATATAATTATTAAAATAATTATGACCAAATACCATATCATAATAATTATTATTATTATTATAATAATAATAACTTTATTGAAAAGTGGGGTGTTACAGGTGGAGGTTGTTTAAGATCACATTAGTTGTGGTATGATCACCATAATTAATGATTTCTTGAGACAGGTGGGAACTAAGCAATTACAGGATCTAGAGTTGTTGAGGATTTTGGGATTGCTTGGTACTGAGAAGGTAGCTGGTTTTGAGCTTAGTGCTTTGAGCTTAGTGCTGATGGAGATTCCCGAGTGGAAGTGTGATAGTGTCACTATGGACTTTATGGTTGGGTTGCCTAAGACAGCTAGGAACAATGACTCTATCTGGGTGATTGTTGATAGGTTGACAAAGTGTGCGCACTTTCTTCCTGTCAAGAGGAGGTCCTTGGAGAGGTTTGCATAGTTGTATATCAGAGAGATAGTACGGTTGCATGGAGTGTCTTCCAGTATTATATATTTCTAACAGAGATCCAAGGTTTATTTTCAGGTTGGCAGACTCTGCATTAGGCTTTGGGGACGAGGTTGAGGTTGAGCTCCGATTATCATCCACAGATAGATGGTCAGTCAAAGAACACAGTTTAGTCACTAGAGGAACTCCTAAGAGTTTGTGTATTAGATCATCTCGGTAGTTGGGAGAAGGTGTTACCATTGGTAGAGTTCACTTATAATAACAGTTATCACTTGAGTATTGGCATGGCGCCTTTTGAGGCTTTGTATAGCAGGAGGTGTAGGACTCTATTATGTTGGTATCAAAGTTTCCATGGTAGTAAAGTCTCTCTTCTACTCACTCTGTTCTCTAAAATAGTATTATGGCCTCAGTATTTGAGATTGTTAGGCTCTGATACCAATATGGCCGAGATCCTTAGGATTTATGGTTAATTTGGCTAATATAAGACAATTGCTGAAAAGAGTAGGCAAGGAATGTCGAAAGAGTAAGCTCGTTCTTGTATTCTGTCAAATTCATCATAGGTCTCTAAGGCTCTCGGCCATATTTTAGGATTTTTTTATATATTAATTCAATTTTTAAAAACTAAATTGACCCTAGGAGTATGTTGATAAAATAACATATTTTCAACAACATGATTTATATATTACTAACGTGATTATGAAAATGTTGAATGGTTGTGAAATGAGTAATACTCATTGGTTAACATGACACCCAAACAATAAAAAATGTATGTTATAAGTTGAAGACTCAACTACAGTAACATTTAAAAATGTCAATTACAAGTTGAAGACTCAACCCTCCAATTACAGTAGTGCAAATAGTGCTGGCACGAAAATGAATATTGTGATAAGGAGAAGAAGACACATATAAGATTTATAACACGAGGCAACATCTCATGTGAAAAAAAATAATGATTTCATGACCACGTAAGTATCACGTAAACAACATTAGACACAAAACAATGATAGAGAATAAATTGAGAAAAATGTATTTGTATATAGACTAAAACATACTACTTATAACAATAGAAACTAAAAGAGTTTGTAAAAATATAGGAACCAAAAAGGTAAACTTAAAATTTATTTGATAACCAAAACTTGTGCAATTTTATGATTCTTTATATTCTTTTATGAAATTTTTAATAAATTTTAATTCATAAGAAATTGATTGAAAATATGAATTTTAAAAAGGTGAAAAAATATATAATTATTTTTTATATATTTTTTATTTTCTTCACAATATTCTTTTGACTAAATTTTTGGATTACATATCGGTAGAGTTACTTTGATAATAATTAGTAATATAAAATACAAGTGTTTAAGAATTTCAAAATTATTAAAAAAAATAACATTATATAATATAATTTAAGATCATATACGGCATCTATATTTATTAATTTTTTTTTGTAAAATTAAAAACAACCAACAAAAATATTAATCTTTCGTTTAGCTATACAATATTTATAGTATTTGAATTCATTTGATCGTATTTTTTAGGTAAACATAATATTGATACGAAGTATTTATCTACAAAAATATTAATTAATTTTCAATGAGCTGATGCAAGTGGATCTTTTTCTTTTAATGTAATTTATTTCATGTCTAAAATCATAATCTAAACTTTAAACAACTTAATTTTTTTAACACTATAAATCACTATTATTTGTAGGCATGGCAACGGAGCGAGGTAAGGGCGGGTTTTTGTTCCCCACCCCTCGAATTTAAACCGCCCCTACCCTCGATCCCCGTTGCGAGTAAAATTTGGGTACTCATCCCTGTCCCCGACAGGGTTGAGGTTTCCCCATCCCACCTCTACCCTGCTCCTAGACCCTTTTTTTCTATTTGTAATAAATATGAAAAATAAAAAATAAAAATAATAAAAGAAAAGTAAGATAATACAAATTTTTACATATAAAGGTTTCTAATTTGGCTTATATATATTAGAATAATTTTTTAATTATATTATTAAGCGGGACGGGAGCGGACATTAACATCTCCGTCCCCGATTTTATCAATTAGGGAAAATTTGAACCTAGTCAACACGAATTTTTTTCGTTCAAATCAAGACAGGTTCAGGCGAGTATCCACAGAATCAGGTTAAATTGGCATGCCTAAGTATTTGTGTTCACTATTAATTAGATGTTATGGTATTAACATCATCTTCGAGTGAGAGTTCATTTCTTCATTATGTTCTTCCACCACCTTTGGTCATTCATTATCCTCTTTCTTTGCCTCCAAACAAAATTACATATAAATATTGTTGCAAGTTACATGGTCTAGAAAATAGAATATACGAAAGGAAATTTTATTTTACTTTTTAGTTCAAAATTTTAGAGGGAGGAAAAAAGAGATCTTTATTTGATTTTGAAAGAATTTGGTTTAAGGGACAAAGTTTTACGTTAATTAGACCAAATATTGTCTAATTTAATGACTTTTTTTTACTACCAATTTAAGTATATAAGAGTATATTTGTTTTTCTTTTCCTTCTTGTTTCCTCATTTGAGCCAAATAGTGCATTAGTCTCTTATGACCTATGTTTTATCTTTTGGAATGAAATAGAGAGGGAACAAATAGAATGAAAATACCAAAAAAGAGATTTTATTTTCCTTTTTATCTTCTTTTGGAAAACATGATGGGGCAAAGAGAAGTTCAAACTATTCCCTTTAGCCACCTCAAATTGTTCTAAAAGTGTTTAGCAGAAAATCAAGTTACTCGTGCTTCATCAATTCCTACAGTTGGATATGATTTCTCTTGTATATTCTTTCATTGATGTCTGATTTTATTCTTCCGGAAACTTCATTCAATTTACTTTTATTTACAAAACGTCTATGTTGTTGGGGAAATGATTTTATCCATCATCTTAATGATCAAAACTATAATTTATCCAAAACAAAACATTTCTGACATTTTAATTAAAAGTTAAAAAATAGGTCCAAGTTGTTCTTGTTCCAAAAAGTACAAAATTCTTCCTAAGAGCTAGAAGTACACCCCTAACATAATCTTACTATGATACTTTCTGAGTTATTGAAATTTATTGTAAACTACAAAATAAAAAATCACTGAAACTATAAAACTCACAAATTTGTCTTTCCTAATAAATTTTAACTATGTTAAAAAAAATATGTCAAACAATAATTCCTAGCATTTATCCTGCTGATATGTTTAGATAATCGGTTTAAGGTAGAAGATAAAGAAACAGATAATTGAAACGAAAGTAAATAGAATATTTTTAATTAGTTCTCTAACAAGATGGAGGAAAATAAAATTGGGACGAAGTGTTTTCCACTCGAAGTCCAAATGAGGGTAACATTCATAATGGCAACCTTACCAATTGTCAAACCAAAAATAAGACATAAAAATTATTTTTACTATGGAAGCCAATGCCAAAGTTGGCATTGCTATTCAAACCGAAGAACATTATTTTCTCCGCAGTTCACCATCCTAATTCGAAAGCTATGAGATTTAAACTAAGATAGCAGACAAATAGATAATAATAATTATTATATGGAAAAAACCCCATCACACAGGAACTAAATATAGCTAGAACAAGGCTTGTGATAGCAATAAAGCATGTCATTTTTTCTTAGCAATAAACAAGCCCCACATCTGCTCTCTAGATGCACCCCTGGTCTGCTTTGCCTTCCATCTTTCAGCAATTTCATCGTAGTCTTCCTGAAATCAATGAATCAACCCATGCATGTTTTTAACAGAGAAACAAATACCATCAAATACAATCAGAAACCCACCATGATGAAACTTGGTAACAAGTGCCATAAAATACGTATCACAAAATTATCTTAGAAACATCATGAGAAACCCACCTGACTGAAGTCGCTAATAAAATCGTCCTTCTTGTTCTCAAGGGCTTCTAACTCCTGCTCTAGTGCTTTCACGAACTGAACCACACAAGTAATGAAGTTATTAGTTCTCTAGATCCACAATTAAAAAATGCAGATACTATGCAAGTATATCATAAGGACAAACAAACCTGATCAGTTCGATCCTCAGCAATGACATCATCAAATCCAGCATCCTCGAGCATCTGTAGATGATTTAGAATACAAGAAGATTGTCAAGCAGAAGAAATGATAACTCATACAATTTTTGTTGAAACCAAATGGGTGAGAGAGCAGCCAGATGATGTCACTGACGGCTAACAGCACAGGCAACCGTACCTGCCTATAAGCATTCATTTCATGGAGATAATATCCTCCTTTTTTAATGTACTCAGCAAATTCTGAAGATGGACTTCCCGCACTTTTGCAGTAATCTGTAATTAGAATTTTTCCTCCAGGCTTCAACCACTTGTAAAATGATCTGAATAATGTTGGTTTATCCTGCATTGATCGAGAGTAATGTTGGTTTCTCCTCAGCATATCACATTTGATGCAATATATTTCATGGATCATGGTACTTCAATTAAATAACCAATATACTTCAGTGGCATACACTTACAATCCTTTCAATGCCATAAAGCGTAACACTGCTAAAATCAACCATTTAAACAAGGAAAAAAAAGAGTATAGTTCCTTACTTCAACATGTAGCATTGTGTCCCGAGAGTAGATTACATCAAATGTATTCTCAGGATATGTTTTTTTATAGCAATCCGCGCAATCAAATTCAACAGCGTATTTCAGTCCAATAGCACGTTCAATAGCAAGAGAAATCATATTTATGGAGAGGTCAATGCCAACAACCTCAACACCAAAATTTTCAGCCATGTAGAAATCACCTCCCCCAACACCACAACCAACATCCAGAACTTTCTGACCAGACTTTAGTTCCAGCTTTGCCACAAATTCCTTTGTCGTTTCTGCCCAAGCAATAAGCAAACATCATAGGTTAGAAACATATAGACAACTACGATACACACACAGCACCTAACCTTTAAGAATCTGACCAGGATAACAGATTTTCCAGTAGAAAAAAGAAAAAATCCCCGAGAATGATATAATATATAAGCAGTCTGAGACCAACATATTATCATATTTATGAGTGATAAAGAATAGTGGCAGATTTTTAAAAAAAATTATACCCCGTAATACTAGTGATGAGAAAAAATTAAGGTAAAAACCCTAATTTAGTCCCTTATAATATTTGTTTGTTTCAATTTAATCCCACTTTAATTTTTTGTTTCAATTTGGTCCTCAATAATTTAAATTATTGCAATGTCGGACTTCCGTCCAAATAATTTGGACGGAGTTAACTGTTGGTCACGTGGGTGCCACGTAGATGCTTAATTTTTTCATGCATATGGAACCAGAACGGCCCGTTCTGAAACCGGAACGGACCGATCTGGTTGCACTCATGGTGCGTAAATTTTGCATCCGAAACGGGGTGTTCCAGATGCATTATTTAACACCAACGAGTGCATCAGAACGGGCCGTTCTGATTTGCAAAACTGGCCGTTCCAGAACGTCAACCAACACACAATGTGGTTCAAAGATCAAAAACAAACCATTTACACATACATAATTTTTTTTATCTAAAAAATAATATATTTTAAAAAATAAAAATTATATTCTAATAAATATATATATTTAAATTATCATATGTATAAAATATAAATTTCGAAGAATTATTCATTTATCTCATATTTGTTAAACTTTTGTGTTTTCTATTTATTGTATATGTTGATAAAAAAAATCAAAATTGTAAAAATTTATATCACATATCAAAAACATCTTTATATGATAAATAAATTAAATTTGATTTTTATAAGATTTAACATATTTATTTTTATGTTTTTATTAGTGTTAAATTATTATTAAGTAGGTTTTTAAGATTGTAGTTCTAACAAAATATTTTAAAAAATGTCTATGACAGATAAATATATCATATTAATAACATGTATTTTTGATAAAAATTAGATTTAATTATGTTAAATTATAATATAACATAATCTGACCTAATTTATTTTTATCCTTAATCGTAATTGTAGATATAAAAACTTATAAAAAATAACTATAATATATATTTATACTTTTAAAAATTATATGTAAAATTTTTAATATTACAAATATATAAATAAGTATTGCCTCCACGATCTAAAATTTTTAGATCCGTCACCGACTATAATCATCGAGTTTGTGTTTGCCATTTTGGAACCAGAACGGGTCGTTCTAGTTTCAGAACGGGCCGTTCTGGCTCCAGATGCATTAAAAAAATTTGGCATCCACGTGTGCATCCACGTGGCCAACAGTTAACTCCGTCTAAATAATTTGGACGGAAGTCCGACATTGCAATAATTTAAATTATTGGGGACCAAATTGAAACCAAAAATTAAAGTAGGACTAAATTGAAACAAACAAATACTATAAGAGACTAAATTAAGATTTTAACTAAAAATTAAACATATAACAATTGAATTTATTAATAACGCTATACAATTAAATATTTTAGATAAAATATAAATTATATTAAATTAAGAAGAATGATGAAATGCCACATTGAACAAGTGTATAAAAAATATTCCAAAATTAAAACTAAATCAAATGGTGGAACTGTCCTAGTCACCACAATCTTCCACCACTGACAAGGAAACTACATATTAAAGCTAGGAAATATTGCCCTATCTCGTTCTTGCACACACATGCTTGCTCTCTCACAAATCCAAAATCAATACTACCAAATCATCGCCTATTAAGACCTTTCAGTCATGGAACAAATCACTGGATAGCAAGTCAGCCAGTTATGTAAAATAGGTAAATGATAAGGAGCAAGATCATACTACCATGTCAACTTTAAAAAAGAGGAAAGATCTCTATGACAGCAAGGCATAAGGAGAAAAAAAAAATATGAAGGCATACCAAGTCCACCGGTGCTCACAAAGCCATGGCCATACATTTGCTCATATCGTAAAATACTCTTGTGGCTGTATTCAACCCTATCCAAGAACCGCTGGAAACCCCTATCATCATGTGACCTAACTTTCTGCCATATCCAGCAAATCTGTGCAAAGGAGAATTGTTGTACACAAATATTGTCAGTCAATTGGATGAGCAGAAATTAGTCATAATACTTAAAAGAAATGGAAAGCCAATTTTAAGACCTGGTTTTGGTTCTTCTTATTTCGAACATAAGCTCCAATGCACTTACAGCCCACAAGAGAAAATTCATAGGAATTCCCAGTATCATCAGTCATGTGGCACTCTTTAAATACCTGCATGAAAAAAGGGGATAACAGATCAAAGTCATCAAAACCAAAATTTTATAGATGGCATTGTTTGCATTATAAAATTCATGAAACTGCAACATAAGGGGTCAAAGAATTTTTGTTTGCCACAGGGAATATATATGAATGTACATTCAAACAGCTTAAATCAAACTGAGCTGTGACATTAATGAAACTGAACTGTGACAACCCTCACATCAACAACTCAGCAATTCTAATCTAAGTACTCCAAAATAACATTTTCAGAAAGAAATTTAAGTTTCAAAAGAATTTAACATGACACACAGACACTAAAATTTCATAAAGGAACAAACCTTGGTGTAAAATCTGGGTTCCCTGTAGTGAGTAGGGTTGTATTTCCTCTTTGAATCCCCAGATTGGTGGAAACAAGATTCTCTGAAAAATATATATCCATCATCTTTTAACCATTTGATCATCCTTTCAGCTAAATTTTCAACCTGAAGCATCAAGGGAAAAACAAAAGGGTCTCCAGTTGGCCTAAATTGAAAAAAATCATGAAAATTTTGCAAACTTAATCCCTCTAAAATAATAAGCAAGACTGACCTCATTATCTGAAAGATACATAAGTAACCAATTGGAGAAAATCACATCAACAGATCCTTCAGAAACATGCAAATTTGGAGATGTGACATCAGCACACAAAAATTTGACATTCTTGTGGTGTCCATTGATGCTTTCATTCTGCAAACCATTATGAAAAATGAATGATTCAGGTTACATCATCATGTGTGTATGTATAAAATTGGCATGCATTAACCATATTAGTTTTCAGAAGTGCAAGACCTTCTTGATTGCACTATCAATGAAGTCCACAGCAAGCAACTGAGCAGCTTTGTGAGCCAATTCACCAGTAAACCTTCCGATACCTGCTCCAAGCTCTACTACCGATTTTCCTTCATATGCCGGTAATAGGGAAAGTACCTATGTAAATAAAAAATATAATACACGAGTTGCAAAATCATGAGAAAGATAAGCGATAGCGATTCAAGGTACAGAAAGAAATTCGCAATCCTGTTTGCTTCTGGTAATATCAAGGAAAATAACCCAATAAAGTGCTAATTTAATCAATAATTATAACGAAAATCACAAATACGTAAAAAAGATGGATCTAAAGCAATGACAGGCCGAAGGAATGGTCACCTCACCTGTATTCCGGGAGAGATTAAAAAATAATAGAAATATGGAATTTTCAACACAGGGGAATAGACGCGACACTAATACAATAATTTGTTGGAAAAAAAAAAAAAATTGAAGGAGATCAGGAACAAGAAAGACATGGTGTAGCAATAGCATACTAGAAGAATCGTTAAAGGCAACAGATAAAATGTATTAGAAGTAAAGTTGAATAATATAATAAAGGTTACCTCGGGTCTCTCTTCCTTGTCGAGATTAGCTGCATTGGAATCGAGCATCATTGCCTCGACAGACAAATCGGCGGAATGCTGAACCCAGTAGGATTTCTGAATGCCACGCTCGTCGAAAACATTACCTATGCAACAATCACTTAATTAGCAGCTTCAAATGATGATATGATGCGGAAGAGCAGAGGGAAGGTAATACCTGAAGCCATTGTATTGTGAATTGTGGAAGAGAAGGAAGAAAGTGTGAGTGTGAGATGGCTAAGCGCCTTCAATAGCAATCCTGGATCTAGAGAAACTCCTCGATCTTCGGTTGTTACCTCTGCCTCTCTGCTGCATTACTGCATTCCCCTCCCTTTCCTTACCATCTCTTCCTCCATTTATAATCCCACACCTAACGACCTAAAAAACATATTCTAAATTTACTTATTATTATAAAATTAACTTTTTCTTTACATATTATAACTTTTTTTCAATCCTCCCAAACTCATAAATCAAAATAATTTTGTCCACCATACATGAGAATTCTTTTTTTATATTTCCACACAAAAGTATCATAAAAGATAAGAATAAAATTGTTTAGGGTTTTTTTTATACGTTTAAGGTTATATACAAAATTAATTATTAATGATAAAAATATTAAAATAATAATAATAAATTATTAATTTTAGAAAAATAACAATAAAAAATAAATAAATAATATAGTAACAAAACGACTATAAAAAGATGAAGATAATATAATTTAACAAAAAAAATAAAGATAACAATAAATATATTAAATTTTAATATAATTTAACTTTTTAAATAAACGTATTGTTGTGGTGGTTGAATAATATATAATAAAAAAAATTTAAGAAATCAATACTATATTAAAAAGTGAGAACATCATTTATTTTAAGGTATTTTTTAAATGTTAAAATTATAGTCATTAAAAAATTTACTCCTTAAATTTAATTCATGAACTAAATAAGTTAAATATAAATTAAAAATTAAAGTAAAAAAAAAGAAATGAATTAAACTTGAATTATATATAGTTTAATTTTTTATTCATGAATCAATTTGACATATAAATTTATAATTTATATAATTAACTTTCTATTTTAATTTTAGTTTATTAAATATTGAAATATCATTCAAAATTTAGTTATAATTTTATAATGATAAAGAAATAAAGAAATAAATACTTCAGAATTTTATGATTATGAGTTGGATTTTTTATTATTTGATACAAGATAAAATAGTTTTTATTTATATATACTTTTATTTTTATATTAAAGATGATGTTGTTAGTATTTCACTTCTTTTAGACATGTATATACTTTGTATTCCATTTTATTTTTATTTGATCGTTCACTTCTGTTTCATATTACTTATTATATTTGTTTTTTTTACAAAACTTACTATATGTATTGTTTTTGTATTTTTTTATATCTCTATCTTCCTTTTACCTAATACATTCCAAAATGAGGAGTACGTTTTCATTTTTCCAATGATTTAAGTCATGATTGATGGATAAAGTTTTTTTTTATGCATTATGGTATAAAAAAAATAAACATACTCAATAAAAATTAATGAATCATCTTAGCATATTACATTAATAAAAAGAATGATATAGTGAAATAATAAAATTTTATTAGATGTTTGTGTAAAATAAAATTATCTTGACGGTACATATAAATTAAATTGATAAAAAAAATTATATCAATGATGCCTTAAATAAACCCTTTTAAAATTAAATTGCAATAATACTTGCAAATGAAACTAAAAGCAAATGAGTAGTGAGTAGGGGCATGAGTGACTCTCAAATAAGAAACGGCAGATATGAATCTGAAGCTGAATCTGTTTGGGATCTCATTGGCTCAATCGTCTCTTGCCACGTGGTTACATGTTCCATCAAATCATCCTTTTCTTCCTATTATTATATTAGAATTATACTTATTTATTTTCTCTCTTGAACTACCAATTATTTTATTGAATATTTTAAACCAAAGCCTAATCACATGATTTTGTCTTTTTCTCTCAACTCAACTAACAATTATTTCGTCCTTCTTTTTATTAAGAAGAAAATATATTTTTTTTTATTAAAAGCATCTTTTCACTGTCGGAGGTTTTTTTTTTTTTTTTTTTTTGAAGTGGGGAGATCACTAAACAACTTTTATCAATCTTAATAAATATTTCTTCACACAAATGGTTAAGTTATAAATTATAGATTAAATAAGAAAAGCTATATTCATAAGTTCTTAATAAATATTGAAAACTTATGAAATTTTGTATTAAATAGCCATATAACTTTCATAATTTGGTAATTTTATATAATATTCATTAATTAAGTTTTTTATATTACTTTTGGGATAATTTTCGTTTTTCAAAATAAGTAGTGTCATATTCTCGTTTTTGCTAAAGTTTGTAGAATAACAAAAGGCATTAATAATTTACATCATTTTAAAAAAATAACCTATGCGATATAAAATATAATCAATTTAATTACCAAAAAAATAATTTATTATTTTGTACAAATAGTGAATTAATTGATTTTTTATTTTTATTTTGGAAGACTATATGTAAATAAATCATTATTTTGATTTGATAATTAATTAGTAATTTATATGTATGCTAAAAGTTATGGTATTGCCGTTGCAACCATTTACCAAACATATTTGATTCGGAATTCTCGAGGAGTATTATTTTTAAAGAAACTAAGAAATTAAATTTTATGAATCATTATAAAAAAATACGTGATTTATGATGGTTATTTTTTGTAGTTAAAAATCATCATAAATTATATTATTATTATTGTTATTAATAATCATCAAATTTATAATTATAGAAAATGGTTTGTGACGAATATTTTGTAAGCATTGATATTGTTTGTCAAAAAATTTAGTCAATTTGTGAGGGTTTTAAACCATCACAAACTGTATTTAAATTTTATTTGATTTAATACTTTTGACAATTTTAAACCTTCACAATATATAACTTTATTTCACATTTTCTACATTTTTAACTGCTGAAAAATGCACCCTTGTTTGACTTACTTCACATTTTCTTGCAATTTTAAACAGTTAAAAATGTATTTTTTTTATTTATTTAAAATTGTCACTAATTATATTAATCATTTGAAATTAATAACAACTATATTATATTATTATTAAATTCAAATAATCCTTAAATAATAATTTTACTTATTTAATTCCAATATTACTTATTTTAATAAATTTTATCTATAATTTTGATAATATTTATGTGTTAGTATTAGAAATATGACATAAGGCAGCTTTGAAAATTAAAGTCATAAGCACAAATACTCACATTTTCGTTACCAGTTTTGCCCTGTCACCAACAATGAGGAGAACATTAATTTAAAATTAAATATTTTTCACAAAGTAGTCGGTATTAAACACAGCTTTCACATTTGAAGTTTAATCTTAATGTGCAATCATTAAGAGTCTATTTGATTTATAGGAGGAGAATAAGGAGGGAGAATTTAATGGAGGGTGACGGATGAGAGGAGTTACAAATTTTGCTTATTTAAGGGAAAAATAATAAGAGATAACTCTTTTCTTATTTAGTTTATAAGAGAAGGATAGAGATTTTTAAACTAATTTACTTTTATATCTTTATGACTTTAAATATTAAAAGAATAATTGACAATATTTTAAATATCGTACTAAAAATAATTTGAAATTTTTCTTCTTTCCAAATTTTTAATATTGGAAGAGAACTAAAATTACATGACCACTCCATTTCCTCCCTTCACTTCCCTCCAACAAAACACTATATTAAACTTTTTGATATTTTTATTGATGGCATGGAGTAAGGAACTGATGGAAGCAAGTCAATTAACCCCATTGATCTGCAATTAGATAGTGGATGCCTATTCATAATCTAAGATACTGCTATGGTCGTACCCATATCTTTAATTCTTTATCATGAATTACGTATGATGAACACTTGCTTCTATTTCAACCCATGATTTGTATACCCATTACACGAAAATGTTGATATGACTTTTTGTGGCAAACTTTTTTAGAAGTACTTATCTATAAAGAAAAAATAAAATATTTTTTTTTGATAAATTAAAATTTGTTTATACATGATTTATATAAAGCCTTTTTTTATTAACTTTTTTAAAAAAGTTATTTTTAATTTATACATAAATTAATTTTTATTTATAAAATTTATATTTTCAATTTTATTTTATTTTCATAGAAATATAGAGAAAGTTTATTAATTTTATTCGAACATAGTAAAGTGCACAATCTAAATCTAATCACTAGATTGACAATTATTAGATTGGACTCAACATAACGTGTCCTTCTACATCATTATTCATTTTTGTCAACTACTTCAGACAATGCATCCGTGAATCTGTGGCTAGCAAAAAACAAATGTGATCTACTTTTCCAAAGTTGCATCTACCAATCTTTTCCCCGAAACTTTGCTGCAGATATTAATATGGATTTGTTAGAAAACAGCTAGTTTATATATTAAAAAAAAAGTGTGTAAGACACTCCTAAAATCAAATAGTTTCAATATTTTTATTTTTATGTTATTGGTACGTAATATTAATTAGATTTGTTAGTAATTAATCTTTATTGGAACTCTTGGTTTGTTATCTTTATTTAATATTGTATCTTAATTATGTTTTTTTTATCATTCTCATTACTTGATCTCAAAACTTATAAAAAAAAAAAAAAATTCAACATCAATTAAACCAACACTTATCAGTTATTAGGTTCATTGTTTTTTCTTTCTTACCATGATATAGTTTTATTGTTTAAACACATGGAATGATTATCATTATATTCGGTATCATATCACTGTCGTTATTTCTATATTTTTTAACTTTTTTTTTTATATTCACACATCTAAAAAAATATTTGTTTGAAATATAAAGAAAACAATAAAATGTGCCATTTTAGTTATACAAAAACTAATTACCTAAATTTACTCTGGGGATTATTTCGAATTAATCTCGTGAAAGCTGGTTAATTGTCACCCAACAAACAACTTTGTATATTTGGGACTTCTTTAATTGTCATAAATAAAATATCGAATACACTGTGACTGTATATACTACAAAAGGATAAAATAACTAAACCTCTGGATTTTTTTTATACGTACTAAACTTCTGTATTAAAATGCTATTTTAATATTGAGAGATTCTTATATATTGTAATAAACGACAAGAAATTTAGATCGTGGAAATAATATATGGTACGCGAAAGAAAATATTGTCTTGAAATTGGGACCATTATCTTTGTGGCGCGCGTCACGTGGTTGATGCTTTCTCTCTCATCAATCATCTTTGTCCTAAGTCCTAAAGTCTTCGATAATTTTGGCGCTTTTGTGCTGCTGCTATGCCAT